AAATATATATATATATATATATATATATAATAGTAAATTCAAAAAATATTGAAAATAACATAAATAATAAACTTTAATATAATGAAACTTCTTTAGGGGGAGGGAGTGAAAGATAGAGGGTGGTGGAGGACTTGGTAGGTGGCGTGAAGGCACACTTAAGACAGTAGACCAAAGATAGTGAACTTAAAGACAATCAATTAAAAGACAGTGAACTAAAAGATAATGGACGTTGAATGTCTATTGAATTTTGTGAAGTTTATAAATCAGGGGTAGTTTTACAATATAAAAAAAGTGAAAAATTAGTTTGGACTATAGGAAAAAAAGAAGAAGAGCTAAGCTAGACGTAAATGACTTAAAAAAGTTCTTGCCTAGACTTATTAACAAAAAATTCTCAAAATTATAATTTTCAAATAAAAGTAGTAGGTAGTGCCTCATCCAAACTGATGGGACACTTCTAGGAGGCTATTGGATTGACGACACGTGTCCACAGCACCGAGGCACATATTTGCCTCTGACGAATCCACGTGTCCTTGCACGTCGAGGTACCTCTTTGAATTGCCAAAGCCATGTGCTCTCGGCACCGAGACCCCCCCTGCTCTGTGGACATGTTCCTTGGCGCCTGGGCATATGCCCTCCCACCCAGGGGGAGGAGGGAAATAGGTGTCCTCGGCCTCGAGGGTACTCCCATTGCATCTACCCCAAGTCTTCAATTTCTAGAGAGGATACTGATTGACAATTGAACAGTCTAAACTAGATTAGGAGTCAGGAGGGTGCTCTGCACAATGAAGTCAAAATGACAGGGTGGACTGGACACTCAACCAAAGAGAACCAAACGCGTGGTGTAAGGTATAGGATGAAGGGTAAGAAGACCGATCTATCCCTGCTGATAAGCGACTATTCCAGGAAAGCATTTAATGAATCTCCAAATGATGTGACATCCACAGTGGCTTGAGAAGCTGAGGATAGGGGGTATTAAATGTCCTAGGCTCCCGCATTTAAAGTTTTTACATCAAAAAAAGAGCATTAATTGCTCGCGAGCCCGAGCAATCAATACTGAGACATTCCCTAAGCAAATAGGAGGCACACTGCCCCGTTTCTGGACACTACTTACTGACTAGTCAGCAATGATTAGTCTTTGAAGATATAAATAGCCCTCAAAAATACATTGCAAAGGTACACAAAATCATCTCACAAAATTCATACACAGTGTTTTACTCTTCCTCTCTCTCAAAGAATTAACTTGATCATCGGAGGGGATACGTCGGAGAATACTCCGGTGCTCTTCTAACTTGCTTGTTGTGTTCCTAGAACCTCCTGCAGTCCATCGAAATCGGTCAGGCATCCCCTGAGATAATTCATCACCACTCCTTA